TGAGATCATTTTATTGAGGCACATTTATGCAGGAGTTGCTTTGTCCTGGCATGCTGTAAGTACTAGCCAGTCTTTGTAACATTTCTGTTACTGTAGTGTTCAGTGATGTTGCTGTCAACACAATCAGAACACACAGGCTTAAGGAACAAACAGATCACTCCAGGTTACAAAGGTACCAGGGACAGATGTAGGATTTGAACCCATGATATAGATCACTCTCCATACTGTGTAAAGGTGCCACTTTATGCCCTTCATTAACCTCCCACTCTTCTGCCCCTCTAGGTTTCTTTAAGGGGAGATGGATGCATGCTGAAAATACCTTTTCCTATTGAACTCCTAGAGAAAGATGGGAGGTGGTGTTCAGTGGTATGGGGTGTTGCTGGGAGTAGTCTCTCTTGCGCATGAGAAGCAGTGGATGTCCAGAATGTGGCTTGGTTTCTCTTCTGTCCTCTCGCTGCTGAAGGCACTGGATGCAGGCACAACCAAGGGGTTAGCAGGTGCAGCTGTCCGAGCCTGTGTCCCAAGAGTCTCACCCTGCCCGAGCTCTCCTAGCTTCAAGGTCAAGAGCGATACAGAGTCCAGGAAATGCCCAGCTGTGAAATGTTTGCCTTCTGGATGTTGTGATTGAAGTTTCAGGTATCCCTGGTGTGGAGTTTTGGAGCTTCTAGTTTTAAGAGGAGTCTGCTAAGTGTGTCAATCTATTTGTATGTGTGTGTCATTCTCTTCCAATATAGAAATTTTGTTATTGGGGAGAGGCAAGAAAAACTGAACAGATGGCACTAAATATTACGGGAGGTTTAAGTTAACAATATTGCACTAGCTGGATATTATCCTGATTCACATTTCCACTAAGATCATATTTTAAAATGTCATAATAAAGGGAGGAGAACATATGCTGAAAGTGTTCGAGGGTGGGGGACAAAGAAAGCACTTAGAACCTGCAGACTGTGCAGTAAGGCGCAAGGATGCTTTCCTTTTACTGGTTGTTACTGTTTTGATTTTAGTAAATCACTTGAGTCCTATTTGAATTCATAATTTCTGCCTATAATCCTTGAGATCTATTTCTCCTTATATTTTATTAGTCTCAGAAATACTTAAACACGAGGATCATCTGGAACTGTGTAAAATTGAAACTTTTCAGGCTGGAAATTCTATATTTTTTCCATCAAGTTTTATTTCCAAGATGAAATATTTTAATAGTAATAATATTCAAACCTATGTGTTCACCTAGATTCGGCAGTTATTAAAACTCATCTTAGTAGGAATTATGGGAGGCCACGTGGATAGTGGATGGTGCTGGAGTCCAACTCCAGCCAAGTTTGGAACTCGAGAAGGGTGCATGGAATAAGCGCAGGGAAAAGAAACGGAGCACTAAAATTTCAGGAGCATAATGGACAATGCAACAAAGCTGTCTGCTTTATTTATACAGAAGCAGTCACAAAGGCTGGCACAGACTTCCCACACCTGGTCAAGTGGGCATTCCTAAGGATAGTTCTGCCAGTTGTTTCACCTTGAGGCAGGAGGTCAGCAGTCCTAATCCTGTGGTCAGGAGGTTCTCAGTAGACAGCACATATCAATCAGTAACACATTCCCACTGCAATCCTCATTCTAAAACTTAGTCTTGAATCACCTAAGGGAGAAATGCATCACAGAAGGAAGGACCTCAAGATCAAGGAAAGAGGGAAAGAATAGATTCCCACTACACCTAGGGACTTGATTAGTATATGGTCAATGGAGGCAGCTGAGACAGCATGAATAGTAAAAGGCCTTTTGCTAAGACGTTACCAGCAACATCAACTTCCAAACTCACATTGACAGTAAAGACCAACTCCGCAATGTCAGACAATGGCTAAATAGATTACAGAAATCTCAGCAGGATTGTATGGTGTCCATGCAAAGGGAGGTGGAAATGCCTTCAGGTGGATGTGGAGACATCCACCGAGCACTGCCATGTGGCAGGAAATTTCTTGCGGCCCTGCCTGCAATGGAACAATTCTCTTGACGCCTTTGTGACTTCCACACCCACCACACGGTCCCCAGCAGGATGGTGCACGGACAGACGATCTGTCCTTTTGCATTATAGCACTTAATTATGTGTTCTGATTAGTATCGACTGTGGCTCTGGGGTAATTTTCTACCCCTGAACTTAAGGTAGGAAAAAAAGAACAGCAAAACTTGAAGTTAGAAGTGCATATATATGATATAATGGCCAAGTGGTTTTAGTTAGAATGTAAGGATGTCTTTAGAGCTTTCTGTGCTTTCCATCATCCTGGTAGACTAGAATTCTCAGTATCTTAAAGCTCATCATGAGTCACTGCTAAATATTGACTCCTCATCTTTCTGATCTTTCTGCTCTATCTGCAGCCATTTTCCTGAATTTTGTATATTTATTCCATAATATGTCAGATAGCTTCATTTAGATTTCCTGCTTACAAATGGAATTGTACTATAGGTGTTCTCCAGTGAGTCAGCATTCCTATCATGATGTAATTTTGAGATTTATCTTTGTTAATGTGTGTGGCTGTAACTTGCCTTCACTCATGTGCACGTATCACTGTATCATATACATTCTCGATAGTTTCTATAGCAGTCTGCCATTAATGGACATTAGGGAAGTTTTTGGCTTCTTTTGATATAAGCAATGATATCACGAGCATTTCTGCCTCTATCCTATGTGGATGTGCCAGAATCACTCAGGTGTACCCATCAGGGAATGCCTGGGATTTAAAGTCCTGGAAAGCTGTAATCGTGTCTATAAACAGCAGGGTTTACCATGACTGCGGAATAGGACCAATTATTTGAACTACTTTGGAACACAATTAGAACTGGCTTTTGAAAAGATCTATTTATTTGTTTCAAAATCAGAGATACAGAAAGAGTAAAAGAAAAGAAAGAGATTCATGATTCATACATTGGTTCACCTCCAAAATGGCCAGCAATGAACCAGGTTGAATCCGGAAAGGAGCCAGAAGCTTCTTCCTGGCATCCTATGTGAGTCTTCCTCTGCTTTTCCTAGGCTACTAGCAGGGAGCTGTGTTGGAAGTAGGGCTGCTGGGACACTAACTGGCACTAGCATTGCAGGTAGTAGCTTTAGCTGCTTCACCATAACTTCATGGGCCTGCATTTTTGGTGCACCCTGTAATGTTTTATTTTTACAATTTCTCACAATGAATGACGTTGCATAAACCAACTTCAGCTCCCCATGGTTGAGATGGTGTCACACTGACTGTATGCTGGGGCATGTGAGAGTAAAATCATATGAGATATGCCTCTCCATACAGGCACATACCCAGGGAACTTTCATGTTGTTCACTCAGGATTCTGTTGTTGCTGGATTCCTGTAATCTTGGTTCCCCCATCTCCTCTAGGTTGATGGCCTTTAGTTCAACTTGGATAACGCGAATAACCAGATCCTCTGCTCTAATAGTTGAGTGGCATTCAGAGTTAGACATAGGTTGGCTATTTACATATTTAACAGGTGTTATTATAATGGAAATGATCTGTGAAAAACTGCTTGGCTCTTTGCTGTCACGTAATGATCACTCAATGATAGCCTGTGTTAATGCTGCGTGCCTTATTACTTATCATCATGATAACTCAGAAATACCGACATCCCTTAGTCTGATACCCCTTATATGAAACTTCATTTTAGTGTCTGTTTCCTCCCCTCACTTATTTTTATGATGCTCACATTTGCAGTTTTTCCATTTAAATGTTTCACTTTCTTCTCATTTTCTCCTAAATGTAATGTAACCAAGTTTCAATTTTGGTTTTTGTTTATTTCTGCTCTCCAATGGCTACCATCATCCCCTCTTGGCTAGTTGCAGGCATCACCCGCACTTCAGTAACCCTAACCTAAAGACCGAGACCCCAAGACTGCTCCTTTCCCTAGTCCATCAGTCCCTCCTCCTGTCACATCTCTCGTTGCTTGTCACCCTCCCATTTCTAAGTCAGCATCAGCTCTCACCTGAATGCCCACTGCCCTCCACCTTGAATGCCTGCCTGCACTCTTCCCACGCCAGGCAATACTGTAAATTAGGTCTGATGGCTGCACTGCTGAAAATCCTCCAAAGATTTCCCAGTTGCAATCACAGCTAATTCCATGCGCCTCGCCATGACCTTCCGCTGGGGTCACACCTCTGTCTGTGTCTCATCACATTGGTTCATGCACCATGGCCTATTCGTATCTGGGTTCTTTCTCATCCTCTCCCTTGAGGACCCCAAGCTCACTCTCATCTCTGGAACTTTCCAATTACTTTTATGCCTTCCTGATTCTCTATAATTTTAATGTATTGTTTTCTTTCATTGTTCCAACAGGTCAAAAGTCTCTTTCTGAGAATTATTTTCATTGTTTTTTGAAAAATTCCTTTTCTTTTTTACTAACAGTATCTAAATGTAAACTTATGGATTTAGTGACTTTTTAAAAAAATCTCATCCCATTAGAATATAAAATCAAGCAGGGTGGGTAGCAGAGTGTCTTACCTGATTTATTGCAACATTCTTGGGCTCGGCACAACCGCTCAACAGGCTAACACTTCACGGGCAAGCGCTGCCATCTTTTGTGGGTGCCAGTTCTAGTCCTGACTGCTCCATTTCCCATCCGGCTCCCTGCTTATGGCTTAGGAAGATAGTCTGAGAGAGCCTAAGTCTTTGGGATCCTGTCCCCTGTAGAAGAGCCCGAGGGTGCTCCTGGCTCCTGAATGGCTTAATCATAGGCCTGGGGACAATGTGGGGAATGAAGCAGCAGATCAAAGATCATTTTTTATCTTTCTCTATAAATCTTTCCAATGAAAATATATCAATCTTCTGAAAAATGCAGTGTCCTCTACTTCTGCAACATTGCCTGGTGCATAACTCATACTCAGTAAGTATTTGTTAGTGAAAAAGATAAGTGAAAGAAAAAAAAGTTTAAATGTTCACACAATTTCTGCCATCTTCACCACGTATTGTGCATAGCAGTAATTATATATTTTTAAGTCACTAAAATGTTTTGTTTTCAGGGTGAATTGGAATTCTTCAGAATGTCAGGTAAGTAATTGTGAATTCATTTGAATATGTTTCATTGCAAAATGTGAATTATTTTAGTTATTTACTTAGAAAAGAAATTGTATTTGTTTAGTAGTTCGTTAGTTTTCCTTTAGACAATATAAATATAAATGTAGGCGAATATATGAGTAAGTGTACACATTTATACACAAGGACAATTCTATCTGTCTTGATCAGAGAAGAATTTATAGGAGACCAGCACTGGCACAAATGTGTGAGGAGTTCTTTAAAGCATGCAGGGCTGGGCCCGGTGCGGTGGTGCAGTGGTTAAGGTCCTCACCTTGCACGCCCGGGATCCCATATGGGCACCGGTTCTAATCCCGGCAGCCCCGCTTCCCATCCAGCTCCCTGACTGTGGCCCAGGAAAGCAGTCAAGGACGGCCCAAAGCTTTGGGACCCTGCACCCGCGTGGGAGACCTGGAAGAGGCTCCTGGCTCACTCCCGTTGCGCTCACTTGGGGAGTGAATCATTGGACGGAAGATCTTCCTCTCTGTCTCTCCTCTCTGTATTTCTGCCTTTCCAATAAAAATAAAATAAATCTTTTTTTTTTAAGAAAAAAAAAGCATGCAGGGAGAAATAGGGAAAGAGAATAAGAATAGGAGAAGCATTCTGCAAACAGAAGTGGTAGTACTAAGTAACAGTACTTAGTTACTTGGGTAGTACTTAGTACTGAGTACTAAGACATGGTTTGATGAAGGAGAGCTGAAGCCAAGTCTTACGTTTTCTAGTAATTTAGAGAAAAACATATTTGTGGAATTTGCATGAGATGAATTAACCAGAGCTTTCCCATGTGTCCGGAGAGGCACTTCTATAATCGTAACAAACGAATAAGGCATAACATGCCGAAAAGTGACTGTATGAATGAGCTTTTTACTACCTGAAATGATGAAGTTACAGTTTACGTAGCTCACGTGTTAGAGGCTGGAAGTCCAAGAGGCATGAGGCAGGCTTTGACAGAGGGGTCTTACACACGGCGGAGCACCTGCAGGAGGAAGGATCACATTTTTGACTAGGATGGGTGGACCCAAACTCGAGCTTTTTAAACAACTTTCTTCTGAGAACTCCAGGGAGTCCTGCCGGAGCTGCCTTCTGAAGACACCTGCCCCCACCTGCCAGAGGTGCCCACATCTGTCAGAAGCAGCTCCCCAGAGACCAAGGCTTGAACTCAGGTGCTTTGGTGGGTTATCCAGTAATGCCCAAACCATAACACCTGTGCTGAAGCAGTCGCTGTAATCCAGGCCACTTTTAGAAAGTATTTATTAAAAATGATTGTCACCTGCAGGTATAGACTGACCTCCCAGTAATAGAGTCACATATGATACGTGCCCCTATTTTTTAAATTATTAAGTATGATGTTACATTTTGAATGTATTTAGATACCATTTTCTTTCAAATTCCTTTCATCTTCATATATCTGTGTTTTCCATGTTGTACTGGCATAGTAGGAAGTAGAAAGCCTGCTACTTATTCAAGAAATTTACAACATAGTTAGGAATGACCATCGGGTCAGCTGAACAAGTCACTGCTTTGCTGACAAGCAAGTATAATTCTTCAGTTTTATTTTTTTTAACTGCATGTTCAGCCTGAAAATATATAAAAATTAATAAGAGTGTCAGTCATGTGATGAATTATGCCTTTGTATGAAATATGAGTATCTTCATCTTGACTTTATTCTTTGATGCATAGCAAGTTAAAAATCTATTGCCATGTGATCCTGTCCCCTCTCCCCTGGACAACATGCAGAACCGACAGCACCTGAGCAGCCTGCAGGTGAAACGGAGGATCAAGTCACGTCGCCAGACCCAAGGCCACCATCGCCTCCTGACTACAGTTCTCACTTTGTACCAGGTGGGTTAAAAAATCAGGAAATATCTTTTCTCCCTCAAGAAAACCGTATCAGTAGTTAACCTTGCTTTTTAAGCTAACGAATGAGCTGAGTAATTACTACAAGTGAAGTGTAATCAGATGCTAGGCAGTCTACAGCAAGGAGAACACATCCCTGTTTTCCCGGAGTATATGGGCAACTGAACAAAAGCCTGTGTACACACTGATGCTCTCCATGCTCCAGGCAGAGACAGGAGGGGAAGGCTGTGACAGTGCGAGATGTCACCTAACTGTCAGGCATCTGAGAAAAGCCTGGCTGAGAAAGTCAAATGGGACAGTTAGGAAAAGAATCTGGCAGTCAAAGAGAGCAGAGAAGGAAGTGTGTCTTGCAGAAGGAACCATATGTCTCCAATCATATGATCACAAAGTTCTGGCATGCCACGCACATGGGAAAACCCTGAAGCATCACGGAGAAATGGAAGTGAACGCCCTTGCATGCTGCTGAAGGAACTTGGCTTTCTGCTGGAAGTTTCTAGAAGTCTGCAGAAACCGCTGGTGGTGACTCAGATTCATGGATACTCACACTCTGCTCCTGTAAATTTCCTTTTTGGGAAAAAAATTGTACAATGCACAACATTTTTAAAATTAAAATTACACTTGATTTTAACCAAGAAAAATTCTAATCGGAGTTGTACATTTTAACGACAGAAAAACAAAACTTATAACAATGTTTCCTTAAATGTGCACTGAAGGGCATTTTAGAGGTGGAAGATACTGCATTGAGTTTTGGAAAACTGTCTACAGGTTTTTTAGAAAAAAGCTTTTACTCTGAACATGTGACCCATGGAATTGAGTCTCTTTCCCTACAGTGTGAAAATAGCAGGCTTCGGATCTGGGGCAGTAGCCTTGCATGCACTGGGATCCCACATGGGCACCAGTTCTAATCCCAGCCCCAGCCGCCCTGCTTCCCATCCAGCTCCCTGCTTGTGGCCTGAGAAAGCAGTCAAGGACGGCCCAAAACCTTGGGACCCTGCACCTGCATGGGAGACCTAGAAGAAGCTCCTGGCTCCTGACTTCAGATCAGTACAGCTTTGGCCATTGAGGCCACTTGGGGAGTGAACCAGAGGATGGAAGATCTATCTCTCTGTCTCTCCTATTCTCTGTAGATCTGGATTTCCAATAAAAAGAAAATAAATCTTCCAAAAAATAACAAGATTCTTTTCCCCTTTTCCACTTTGTAAGAATGATTTTCAGGTAAGAGCTGTTATAGCTCTACCGGCTCAATGTTTTCTAAATCAAAGTAGTGACAATCCTAAATTATTGTTTTGTATCTAAATATTTCCCTGTTTTTCTGCAGTGACCATCAACATAATGTACACGATCAATCCTATATTCGTCAACCAACTGGTATCCAAGAATCTATATTCCTTTTACATAGGAATTCTACCATTTTTAAGGAGCAAACAGTAGTTACAATCATATTCTACTTCTTTGGCAAATTATTTGTAGTGTAGGTCAGAAAATTAGCAAAGGGGGAAACGTCTTTCAGATCGACTGTTTAAAAATGCGAAATGCGAAGTTATGAAATATAGAAAATATTTAGTTACGAAATATAGAAAAACTTCACTGTGATTGCCACCTAGTGGCTGATTATCCACATAGGATAACTGTTCCAGCAATTCACATTAAGAAATTGAAAATATCCACCATGGATTATTTTATTTTAATCAACTTATTTCTTTTTTTAAAAAAGATTTATTTTTATTTGACAGTCAAATATCCAGAGAGGAGGAGATACAGAGAGGAAGATCTTCCGTCCTTTAAGTCACTGCCCAAGTGACCGCAATGGTTGAAGCTGAACCCATATGGGATCCTGGCGCGTGCAAGGCTAGGACTTTGGCCACTAGGCTATCGAGCTGGGCCTTAATTAACTTATTTCTGTTCAATTACAATTTCATTAGAATAATTGTACTGAATATGTTCACGCTGGCAACTACTCTGCATTACTCGTGTCTAGAAGACTAGTTAATAAAGACATCGTCATTAGAGGCCATCTGTTTAAAAAGCAACTGACATGATTTCTTGAAATGAAAAAGAAATGGTATGTCTAAAGTAGCTGACTGAAATAACTAAGGCAACTCAAGTGTGGTGCAGTCTTGCTCAGGTTTTCATTGGAAGGACAGCTGCTCCAGTGCTCCATCAGACAGCTCTGACCAACTGTGAGATAACTCAGTTACAGTGTCAGGTGTGGCTTTTGTCTTTCTTCTTTTCCTGTGGAACTTTTCAGAACCATAAACTGCAGCTTCAAAACTCAGAAGGGAGATAATATTCCAGTTTCCAACACATTATTTGAGCATTTTTCTCCCCACTTAATTAACACTAGAGAGCATGTATACATATCTAAATGAAAATCATTCTAAAATTTGTGTATACTTTTCTTTTTCGTTTTTTGTTATTATTTTATGATACAGTTCCATAGGCCCTGGGATTTCCCTTAATCCCTCCATCCCCTGTCCCAACTGATTTTCCCTATATTGTTAAAATAGTATAGTTTTTCATGAACAGTCACAAGCCCATTATTGTAAGCAAGGACAGTGACAGAGAGCCCAGCATCCTACTGTTAGGGTATATTTGTCAGTTTCATTGGGAGTCCATTTTTGATCTGGCAATACAAATGCATGCTACATTGTATCCTCACATCTGGATATTATAGTCTCTATTACACAGTTACTCTATATCCTCTTAAATGAAAAACCACAATACAAAGTCAACAACAGGAAGAAAAATAGAAATTTACAACACCATGAAATTAAACAACATTCTCCTGAATGACTAATGTGTTGTGAAAGAAATGAAAAGAAAAATCAAGAACCTTCTTTAAGAAAATGATGCTAATGTATAATTCATGTCAGGGAACGATATAATGAGAAAATTGTTTTAAATAAAAGAAACTAAAAGCAAAAACTTCAAAATCCATGAGATATAGTTTCTGTCGATTTTGTTGCTGAGGTATGTCTCCTGTAGGCAACAAATTGATGTGTTTTTATTTTCTAATCCAGTCTCTAATCTATGATGTTTCATGGGTTTAAGCTATTCACACTCAGTGTTAATATGAAAGGGTGGGGGCCCGGCGCAATAGTGTAGTGGTTAAAGTCCTCATCTTGCAAACCCGGGATCCCATATGGGCGCCGGTTCTAATCCCAGCAGTCCCGCTTCCCTTCCAGTTCCCTGCTTGTGGCCTGGGAGAGCAGTCGAGAATGGCCCAAAGATTTGAGACCCTGCACCCGTGTGGGAGAGCTGGCTTTGACTCCTTTGCAGGGGGATCTTCGGTGATATTCATTCTGATTATGTCTCTTCTTCTGCTCTTGGTCATGGTACTTTTAATTAGCAGATTCTTCTCCTTAGGGCAAGTTTCTAAGCTGTGTCACCCACAGGTGTGGTTCAGAATTTTACTTATTGAGATAGCACACTTTTTTTTTTTAATTTACTGTCACTTGTGCCACTCCCTCAAGCGAGTTTCAGGTCTGAATTCTTGTGGCAGACTTCTGCCACAGTCCCATAGCCCCAGCTCCTGGCTCACCACTCTCGACCTCCTGTTTGCCTGTGCTAAGGCTGCGATGTTGTCTGTACAAACTTTATCCCACTTCTGGTTGGAGCAGGTCCCGGGATTAGGGAGACAGCAGGTGCCCTAAGTAGCTAGGTTGTAGATGGTGTTGATCATGCCAGAACCTGCTGACCATTAGATCTGAGGGATATGTGAACTTATTTTGAACTGTATGATGCCAAAGTCAATATTATTTTCCCCTTGGGACCAGTGCAATGCACTGAACTCAGTGGGTTTGCTCCCAGCTCACTGTTGTCCCTGCAGTCTCAAAGCACTATACAGAATGGTACCTGAGGTCCACTGGTGGAGTTCTTGATCTACTAGCTGTTAGATCTGGGGGCAACTTGGTCCGGTTTTTGGTAGAACCCAAAGGATCCCACATTGCAATTCACTTAGCAAAGAATGAGTTCACTCCCAGCTTAATGCATGTGCAGTCCTGTCTCACACCCTTTGTCTCCCTACATAAAATGACACCTGATTTTGATCTAGTGGGGGACAGGCTGGGTTGTGAAATCCACCTTGTTCCTGCACTGCCAGTTGGGGATTTGCAATTCTGTGTCTGTTTCTGGTCAAATCAAACAAATGAGCAGGAAGGGCAGTTTTTTTGTCTAGGGTCACCTCCTGAGCTCCTGGTGAACATCCCTTCCCACCTTGTTCCTCATGGAGTTCCAGCTGCCAGTGCAGTTCAAATCACCGCTCGCTGAATGCCACCAGGATATCTGCTCACTGCAGTACCACACCGCTGTGTCTGCTGCTTCCCTATGTCTATCAGTCCTAGGTGCCCCTCTGCTGTCTTTCTGTCTTCTCCTGTTTGCTGGAATGTGTTCTCTCTGCTTCACTCTAGCTAGTGTTTCTCTGTTTAAATGTGTCCTTACCCTATTCTGCCATCCTAGATTCTCCCTCTATACTTTTCTTAGATATATAATCTCTGCAGCTAGGTGCGGTAGCCTAAAGGCTAAAGTCCTCGGCTTGCACATGCCAGTTTTAATACTGGCATCCCTGCTTCCCATTCAGTTCCCTGCTTGTGGCCTGGGAAAGTAGTTGAAGATGGCCTAAAACCTGGGGACCCTGCACCTGCATGGGAGACCTGGAAGAGGCTCCTAACTCCTGGCTTAGGATTGGCACAGTTCCGGCTGTTGCAGCCACTTAGGGTGTGAATCAATGGATGGGAGATCCTCCTCTGTGTCTCCTCCTCTCTGTATATTTGACTTTCCAATAAATACAAAATAAATCTTTTAAAAAAAATATATATATATATATATATATAGAGAGAGAGAGAGAGAGAGAATGGGCCTGGCGCAGTAGGCCTAGCAGCTAAAGTCCTCAGCTTAAATATGCCAGGATCCCATATGGGCGTTGGTTCTAATCCTGGCAGCCTCACTTCCCATCCAGCTCCCTACTTGTGGCCTGGGAAAGCAGT